AAGTTTGAATAGATCAGCTAGTCTGTCATTCAAGTACAGTTGAATTCCAATTCATATAAATGAAAATTAAATAAAAGAACTTCATCCGTACTGATTTATCTTACTACCAAAAAAATAATAATTGAAAAGTAATTATGGCAATCATCAATATCAATCGCAGTTTTAAAAAAATCTATAACAAGTTGTACTGTTTTGAGATAATTAAACATAAAGTATACATTAGGCTCCATATAATCCACTAGAAAATATGCTTCCTACGCTCTAGTACTGTGAAACTGCCAATAGAGGAAGTTTAGTGAGTAATGGTATATGTGGAGAAAGTCTTCATTCAATACTGAATTCCAAAAACAAAAAATTAAAAAAACTCCTTTTTTTTTTAATTGCATACATTGGACTCAATTATGTTCAAGGTACAATCAAACATTAAATGTAAGCATATCTTTTAATCAAAAATCAAATCTTGATTTATCATATTGTAAGAAATTAATCCACACAACCACTTCTACATTATGTTAGTCAAAGTATGGTTGAAAAGTATTCATTCTTTATCTCTTAACCATGTTAATAAACAATTACAGGTTATGTATATATAACCAAAAAAATTAATAGAAAATAAAATAAAAGAAGGTTTTTTGAATTAATACCAAATAAAATTGAGTAATGTAACTAAAAAAGATACCCTTAATTTTAAACAAAACAATTAAAAATTTAACTAAATATTGTAATAATGTAATTAATATTAGAGAAAATAGCAATCAAGAACCACTTGAGAAAGTTTATATCAGTTAAGGATCATTTGTCAAAACCTAAATAAAAAACAAGCTTGAATGGACTATTATTAATTTAAAATTAATTATTGTTAAAATTTAAATAGATACTTATTTATAAAAGATTAACCCTAATCGACATGCATCTATTTAAATTTTGATAATAAATAATTCTTAACTGACATAAATTTTTTTTAACAGTTCTTAATTGATATTTTTTTAATATTACAAAACTTATCATTTTTTTTTGAAAAAACCAATGGCGAATTAATACACCAATATGCTATTGGAATTCAAATTCAAATTTAATATACCAATCACAGTATTAATGTTTATTTTAACTATAAAAATTATTTTATTAATAATAGAGATAATTTAATCCAAATTTTTTAATTTTAAATATAATTATTATACTTAACTAACTTTCTTAAATTATGTGAATTAATTATTTTTTTATATATTTGAAAACAGAGTAATATGATTAATATGAAAGGACATTTATTTATTTTTGTAATCGATCAAGGACAACTTAGGTTGTTCTTGCAAATTGTTTTTTTTTTTCCTAATTTCAGATAAATTTTTTATATTTGACCAGTTTAACGAGTCATACTTTTGGAATACGGCTTGATGTACTTGCCAAGTGAATGCCCCTTGCAAGGCTGCAACGGTCAACTGCCAAAGTCTGACCAACAAATATTGCACATGCAAGTCACAGAAGATTAATTACACCCCAACCAAACAAAACATATTTCTTTGGGAGGATGACAACTAAGTCCAGCTTCAGGGTCATTTTAATTATTCAACTTAAGTCCTAGTAAATTGTTGAATGTAAAGTAAGTTTCTTGGTTCTCAAGTGATATTTTGATGCACTTGTAAGTTTCTTGGTTCTCAAGTGATATTTTTGATGCACTTGGAACAAGTTATAAATTTAATTGGTCAAAATTGTAAATTGAGAATTAAAGTTATAAATTTGATATTTATTATTAATAGGGGTGGAGCTAAAAAATTTTATTAGAAGGGCCGAGATGACAAATCAAATATAATAATTGAAATAAAAATTAAATGTGTATATATATATATATATATATAACTAACATAGTATATATACTTCAACATATATATTTATATTTAATTTTACAAATATATAACAAAAATAAACATATACTTTTATTTTTTAATTTTTGCTCATCAATTTTTCAAAGTATAAAAATATTTAATTATCATGTCTACAATAAAAGTTTTAGCAATATTTTTTTTTCAATATAAACTATTATTAAATTGGTAAAGATTTCATCTTTTCTATGAGCATTGAATGATTTAAATGCATCATTTGAGATCATTCATGCTTTAAGAGCAAGTATAACATTATCTTATTGAAAATAAGTAAATCTTATGACAACTATATCTTTAAATTATTAAAATAGTTGGACTATACATGCATAAACAATTATGCATAGAATTCAAATGAGAATTTCATATAGTGTTTTAAAGCTTCTATAACGTATCAATTTAAGGGGGTTGAAAATATATGACCTTTATATTTTACTAAGAAAAGAATTAAAAAATTATCCTCATATCTCCACCCCTGCTCGGTGAGGTCAACAATGAACAAAAAATTAAGCCACCAATAAAAAGAACATGATAAACTGATGTCTTTGGTTTCAATTTTAAGATTTGAATTTTTGCTTAATTAATAATGGGTAGAATTTTGATAAATTTATTAAATTCTTTTGACAACGCAAATAAACCCTTTAATATTTATATAGATAAATAGAATGAGAGTCAAAATTGCGATTCCTTATATGAAATCAAATTACTGATTTTTATAATTTATTCAAGTAATGACTAAATAATAAATTAAATTGTCATATATTGTATGTTTAACTTACTATCTTCAAAGCTAAAGTCTTGTCAAAAAATTATATACTCCTTTCACACTATAATATAAGTTATAGTTAATTAATTCATAACTTTTAAATGGTTTCGGTTCAACTGTCTATTAGAAGCAGTCCAATCCAATCCAATCCAATAGTTAAAACGGCCAGAAGGTTTAAATCAAGCTTTTAGAGTGACCGGCCAGCAATTAGGTCCAGTTTGAAAATCATTGCCATTGGCTCCATCTCCCCTCCCAGGCTCCCCCCACACCACAGGCATCACCAGTTTGGAGACGGATCCAGTCCTTTTGAGGTAAGTTCGAGTTCAAGTTCAAGAGAGCCGTGAGAGAGAGAGAGAGAGAGAGAGAGAGAGAGTTGCCGAACGGCTACGGTAAGGCCATGTGAGACTGAGTCCAAGATTGGGAGATTGGGTGTTGTAGCGTGGAAAAAGAAGACCCACTGCCAATTACTAGAAGAGAAGTGGCTACATAATATTCATAGTCAAGCACAAGAGGTTGTTAGAGTTAGAATGCTTCTGCATTTCTGTAGCGTGGAAAAAAGAAGACCTGCTACCAATTAATGTAAGAAAAGTGGCTACATAATATTCATAGTCAAGCACAAGAGGTTGTTAGTTCATTTCAACTCTGCCATTAATACAACATGAGCAACGTGCAAATCACAAAAAAATATCTGGATGGATTGAAAAGTACTTTTTTGTTTTTGTTTTGGGCAAAATGGATTGAAAAGTATTCATTCTTTATCTTCTGGCCACGCTAACAAGTTAACGGATTATCATGAATATATAACAAAAAAATAATTAATAGAAAAATAAAATAAAATAAAGCTTTTTTGTGTTAATACCAAATAAAAGTAATTAATAAAATAGAAAATTAATCTACAAGTTGTCATAATTTTCATTGATTTTCAATTAAATTCCTGTAAGCTGTGGTTTATTTTTTTAATCAAGTCTTTATAGTTAGATCAATTAAATGTATTAGTCGCTAAATGTTAAAATTAATACTGAACGATTGACCTTTCAAAAAAAAATTTCAAAATTTTTTATTTAACACTTTTGGCCGTAAAAATAAAAAATTGATTTAATACAATCTTTATATTTTTATAGTATTTTTTATGAAAATTATATATATATAAATTATGCAATTAATTATAAATTTATATAATCCGTTAATAATGATATAAAATTTCTTAATTGCATTTCTTAAAAGAAAAATTCAAGAATTTTAATCCATAGGAATTAACATTTTTAATAGATTAAATTATAAATATTTACTTAAAATAAATTAAATTACATGGATCCAATTGAAAAGTGAGAAAAACTTAGAAGACCTGCAGATTAGTTTTTATAAAAACTAAAAACTACACTTTTAATTTTAAATAAAATAACTTAAAATTTGATTTAAATTAACTAGAAGGTAATACGTATTACATATCACAATATTGTTTTTTATAAAAAAAAAAAGCTGATGGCGAATTAATACCAAATATGCCATTTGAAATTTGTAGGTTTCTTTCCATTTTCTGCGCCCGGATTTGTTTTAAAAATACTCAGTCTTTATCTTTTTTAATTTCTTGTTTCCCTAATTTATGTGGCTTTTTATTTATGTTTCATTAAACTGATCTGTTTTATCCTTTTGAAGATATGTTGAAAGAATTAGGACATGCATGCTAAACTCACAATCACAGTAAGACGGGCTAGTTTCCAAAGTAATTGTTCTCCTCAAAATATAATTTACTACCTGTACTTTTCTTCTTCTTTATACATTCCTTTAATATTAATTATTAACTTTCGTGCATATGGTAGTTTGAGTAATATTCTAGTTTATTATAATTAGACATAATTTCCTATATATTAAGCAAAGTTTGAGGTTAATCACACTATTCAAAGCTTATAAACAATATGATTTATTAGAACTTTTATAGTTTCTATTGATGATATTGATATCGATTGTCTTATCTATATGTAATCCTCTTTTATCTTAATCTAAATGGGCTCTCTGGTTCTATTTTCTTAATTCATTAAATCTTACAATGTCATTTTAAATATACACCATTTAAAATTCTAACAAAAATAATTTTAGAATGTAGAAACTTAAAATAAAAATTGTATGCTCGATCAACAATTTAAGACATGATAATTAACCATGAAATTTAAAAAAAATTAATATAAGTTATTCATATATAAAACGGTTAAAGCACATTGTTAGAGAAAAACTGGGAGGAGGGGAATAAGGGTTAGTAAAAGTCATGGAAGCAATGCAAAAATGCAACTTTTCTTACTCTGAATGATCTCAGTGGGGACATAGAAACAAACGGAGTCAATAATGAATAGAAAAGGCATCAAAGAAAAGTGTAATAAGAAAGTGTAACTCTATTTCTTACACAACTAGTCAAATATTTGAATTTTCTTTGTCACTCTGCTTTATATAAGCATGAGTTTTCTGCGTTATTGAAACAGCACCCAAGTGAGTTCTTTCAAGCTCAAATTGGAGAACGAGCTCACCAAAATCAAAAAAATCACCATATAGTTATGGATTCCATTGCAGCCATCCCAGAAAGTGAGTACTTTAAAGCTGAAGCTCACTTGTACAGATACATTTATAGCCACATTAATAGCACAGTTCTCAAGTGTGCTGTTCAGCTAGATATCCCAGACATAATCCACAGCCATGGCCAACCCATCACTATTCCTCAATTGATCTCCAAATTAGAAGTTCACCCAACCAAAACTGCCTGTGTGGAGAGGCTTGTTCGCTTCTTGGTGCACAATGGCTTCTTATTAGAAACCAAAGTGAACAATGAAGAAGACAAGGAAAGTGAGGCATATACTCTCACTCCTTCTTCTAAACTACTCGTCAAAGCCATGGAACCAAACCTAGCACCAATAGTAAGGTTGGTCGAGACTGGTTACATGGCTACGTTTGATTTTCTAGGAAGCTGGTTCAAAGGGAACGATAAGACGATAGCTGAGATGGCCTTTGGGGTAAGCATGTGGGAAATGCTTGAACATGATCCTCTGAGATAGAAGTCTTTCAATGAAGCCATGGCTAGTGATTCACAGATGATCACCAAGGTACTTAAAGACTCTAAATCAGTCTTCAAAGGATTGGAATCCATAGTTGATGTAGGAGGCGGCACAGGCACCACATGCAGGATCATCTCTGAAGCATACCCTAATATGAAATGCATAGTGTTTGATCTTCCACAAGTTGTTGAAAACTGTTCAGGAAGCAAAACTTAAGTTTTGTTGGTGGTAGCATGTTTGGATCCATCCCTTCTGCTGATGCTGTTCTTATAAAGGCAAGTTATTCTAATTTGATTACATAAAAATATATTAAATATGATTAAGGGTGTCATTTTTGTCCTAGAACTTTTCACATAGGGTCTATGGGTGTCCTGAATTCAATTTTATGTCATTTTCACCCTTAAAATCTTAACATTCAATGCCCTATTGTCATGCCATAAAAAACCTAACCAGAAATGTTTTGAGTTGTATTCACTTGGATGTCATGTAGTCACATCAAAAGCAGCGTCTGAATTGAAGGACGACAAGGCATCAAATTTTCATAGTTCAAAGATAAAAATGACTCACCGTCAAGTTTAAGACACCCATATATGTGAAAAGTTTAAGAGTAAAATTGATCCTTATTTTTGTTAGATATATAATACTAAATACGTAAATTATCCCCTTTTATTAATACCAACGGTTTCTAACTAATGTATATGGAGCCGATGTAATTGAACCACATAGATTAAAGTTCTTCCAATCATTTACTTAAATTCCATTCTTCATATATATATATATATATATATTGCTAAAGATTTTATATTTCATATGTTCAATATTGTTATATTGAATATTTAATTGAATCATTGAAAAGGGATGTGACATTTGGTGTTGTTGATTTTGTGTGCAGTGGATATTACATAATTGGGATGATGAAAGTTCTTTGAAGATACTGAACAACTGTAAGGAGGCAATCACAAAGAAAGGAGAAGGAGGAAAAGTTATAATCATTGACGCAGTGATAAAGGAGAAGGACGATGACGATGGCATGATGCAAGTGAAACTCTTGTTTGACATTTTGATGATGAGTACTCTGAACGGGAAAGAAAGAACTGAGAAGGAATGGAAGAAGCTTCTAGAAGCTGCAGGCTTCAAACATTACAAGACTACTCCTCTTTCTGGTTTTAGGTCCATCATTGAAGCTTATCCATAATCATTATCTGGTTTGGAACTTCTCGGAAGAAATTTATCCTTTTAAAATTTTATGTTTTTCTCCTAAGTACTTATGTTGTTGTTGTGGTAATTAGCCAAGCTTCAATTACTGATGGTGATGATGTGAGATTCACAAGTTTAAGGGAAAAAAAAATTGCTCCAGTTCTTTTAATTATTTGCATTTTTATATGATTTAAGCACGTACTGTTAATTCTGGCCAAAAAAAAAAAATGCACGTACTGTTAATTATTTTAAGGACTATCACTGCATAGGGACACAATAAGGATTTAAAAAGATATTGATTTAAATGCCAATTGACCAGGTTAACTTAAATTCGTAAGGACAGTGTGGGGACTGGGTCAAAGTCAAAAATTCAAATACTCCCATGTAAACGTATCTATTCCCAAAAGAAAAAAAAAGATACAGTTGTTAATTATAATACTCTTTTAATTTTATTTATAAGTCACTTTTAATATATTTTATTTGAGTCAAGGAAAATATTAAAACACATAAACTCTATCACTATTAACAAAAAAAAAGCATATGGGAGCATTTCTGTTTTGTCAATGAGAGTGCTTTCGAAGCTCTCTCATAGCTAAAGCTCACATATATACGAGAGTACTTAAAAAACACTCCTATAGATGGAGGATATAAGAGCGCTCTTTGAAAAAGCACTTTTATAAGTTTGGCACGACAGCACTATTTGTCAAAGGACTCCCATAAACACCATAGAACTTTAATTAAAAAAAAATATAACAAACCTACAATAACTCTTTTTCAAAGAGCGCTCCTGTATCCTTCCCAACATGAGTGCCCTCATACCTTCCCCTCACAAGAGTGCTTTTCTGATAAGTGCTCTTGTATTTTGATTCTATGGGAGCGCTCTTCAAGTGAGTGCTCTCATGTGGTATTTTTTTATTTTGTTTTAAAAAATTGATATCCTTTTACACTTTATCTTGCAGCGCTCGTTACAAATAACTAATCCATAACAATATCAAAAATCAATCCACCAACAATATAATTTAATATTAGAAGTTGTATAAAATCAAAGAACTTAACACTAAAACAAACTTAAATAAATTTTCTAACTTGTCTAATCTTTAACTAGTCTAACAAATGAAATTTTTGGTATTTTTCTAATATTAGAAGCTAGTTACCCATCACAAATAACCAATTATATTTTTTTGACCACTCACTCAATTATATTTTTTATTTGCTCCATGGTAAAATGCAAGGATTTTGTTCCTGTAAAATATTACAAGAGAAATCAACATATAATTAATTATCTATATTATATGTAATACATGAATTTAATTTTGAAACACTTACATTTGGCAAAACGATTAGCTCTTGTTGTGTGATTACTTCATTCATAAACTTCAACACATAGTAATCATACTTCCAACTTTTTATTTGTGTAGGTACCTATAAAAATAATAAAAGAAGACGTAATTATCTAAACATGTTAGAAACAAAATGTAACTAATTTACATTTCATGGATCAAATTATATATATAATTTGGATCTACAAATCAAATATAGTGAAATGTGGCAGAGCCTCCCTTATTACTTGGATGTTTCAGAAATTCTAATTCAATCCAAATAGCATATTTAGAATAATAGACATAAAATGTTAATCAAACAATTATTTAGATACATATCAAACATGGTTTATTAAGTAAATAATACAAACATTTATTTTGTTTCATGTATAATACTTAGCAGGATCACTCTTTTGTGTATTTGGAGGGAAACTTTTACCACCTCGATAACGTGCTATGGCCCTATCAAAATTAAGCATACTAACTGAAATTATACTTAATTCTTATTATAGATATGTATAAAGAATGTAGAACATAACACTTACTGATTAAATAATACCCTCATAGATATGTAATTCTTAAGCTCATTATCTTTTAATGAGTCAAGATACTAAATTGCGGGGATGAATGGATTGATGCAAACAAACACCTAATATTGCCTAAAAACATTAAATATTTTATCAAATAAAATGTCAACTAGATTTAAAGACAGATAACAACTCATCTTGGACTGTGAGGCACTAAAAATAACATGTTATTCTTTTCTTAATTCTCTCTAGGCCTCTGGAACTTCATATGATTGGAAAATACCACAATGCCTTTACCAGACTACATACCATTTCTTTTGTACTATGAGGTGTTGCATTTTGGATATTTATATAAGGTTGAATACTCATTTTGAAAGAGGATATAGACATTGAGACATTTATGTATCTTCTTATAACTCATCCCAATAGAACATAGCACCTTTTTTGCCTCGTAAGTATTAGGTGGAAGCTTGTTGTACTCTGACAACATCTCTTATAAAAGTTTAAGCAAATATTTGAAACTCTTATCACTCTATCCATTAGCCGCTTTTATTTTATATAATTTTAGAACAATTGACAGTTTTGTGATTTTCTTACAATTGGGGTACAATATGATTTATCATATCTCTTCAACCTCTCAAACATATGAGGATAGTCTTCAAGATCCTTTTCAACTATATTAGTCATCTCATCAAAATGGTCAATATTATATGTTCCACTATCACAATCAAATGATATGTAGCTCACATTGTACCTCTGATCACTAGTGTAATTCCTTGCCTCCCCATGCATGGTCTAACAACTGTAAGTTGGATCTATCCTATTACCTATCAAATGATGTCTCAATTCTGTTGGCCCTGCTTGTCTTCCATAGCAACATTTTATACAAGGACATATGATTTCATGGGGTCCTTGATCATGAGAAAATGCAAACTCAATGAACTCATCTAGCCTATCCTAATATTCTTTAGACAATCAATTAGCTGACATTCATTTACGATCTATATCACTAATATAATTATAAATATTTAGGACAAAGATTTACAATTTAAAAAAAATTCAGTAGAGTACCCCCTAAAATTGAAACATCACAAATAATCAAATAATCAAATCCAATAGTAAAATATATCAATTCATTAAAATATAAATTTTGTAGCATAATATAACTAAAATCTATTAAACAATTGTAATTTATTTTTTTATTCTCACAAATATATAACGGATTTTGCAAGTGTACGGTTTATAAATTAGTATGTAATAAATTAAGGTCGATCCCACAGAGAATTAAGTTAATTAGTAATTAGGCAATAAATTTTTCATTTTCATTTAAATCAAGCAAAACAAATTTGAGTTTGATTTTGCAAAATAAGAAATTGAAGTTATATAAATGCACTAAAATTAAAATTCTAACAACCACAAAAAGTCAAGGCAACCTAGGGTGGCTAATTCCTTCTTTAATCCATATAGCATATAATTATCCAAATAAATTCACTTAGTATTAATTTTTTAATCTAGAGTATTAATAGGGATAATTATCTTCTAATTAATTACACCTCTCTCTTGAATTAATATGCTATTCCTAACACAAATACCTAAGAGGCAAAAAGGCACAAACTCACTTTAATGTGATTATATGGGTCTAATAGGTATATTCCTATCGTATTGACAAATTAGAATAAATTGTAATCCCATATTACTCAATGTAATGGTCTAATTTAGATTTTTCTTTTTCAAGGCAAAACCTAAATTCCCAAATTTACACTAAATGTTGGCTAAGCTCCAAGTAGACAAATAAGCACAAGATTAAGTAAATAAAATTAATATTGAGCTTAAATAAATGGTTCAAATATGCTCTAATCTAATAATTAGTTCATAGCTATCTAAATGAAGAGAAAATTAGCCACACATGGCTCTGATGACAAACAAAATTAGCAATATGCACAGCAAAGTAAAGAGAAGAAGGAGAATAAAAGCTTAATCGAAGCAATCTTGAGTGAAACCCTTGATTTTTTACTAAAGCCAAGATTCTCCAACCCTTCTTTGGCTCTTTTTTCCCTCTCTGGTCGTTCTGCGACTACTGGAAGTAAGGAATGGTCAGAAATGAGGTCTCCAAACCCTAAAAGTTTGCTGAAGATCAAAACTATGTGTTTTACTAAAATCGCATTTTGGTGTAGGAAAATGCACTTTTGTTGTAGTGAACATGACCTATATAAATTTTCTTTCAATATTTACTTCCTTGGATTTGGGCTCCAAAATTTTCATCATTAGGCCCATAAATTGGGCCTCTCTACTATATAAAACCTAAAATTAATGCTAGAATTGTCTACTAACTTTCAATTACATCTTCATGTCTATTTTTACACATAATCATCCACTTAATTATATTTTTGTTAATAAATTCAACTAAATGACTTCCAATTATATTAAAAACACTAATAAATTCAGTAAAATATTAGAAGTCATCAATTTTAGGTTTATCTATTAGCTTAATACTATTATAGTCTTAAAAAAGAATTCCAATATAAGCATATCAAAACGTTTCACAAATACAACAAAAAAATTTTAAGCAAGAGTTTCCTCTTAACTTTCAACCTTTCATACTTCAATAATAACTACATTCAACTTCAATCTCAAGTAACACAAAGTAAATCCCAATATAAGCACACTAGAATATAAAGAGTATTGCATCATTTATGTCACGCCTCAAAATATGGGAGTAATCGACATGGGATATGCACCAAAACACGCATCCCTTAAGCCTAATTCAAGAAATTTTTTCATTTTTAAAATAGTTTCATGTAAAACAAAGCCATGATAAATATCATAACAACTAGGAGCTCAGCTTCTTCCAGCCAATAGATGGAATATATATTAAAATAATGATCCTAATTATAGCATATGTGGAGCATCTAGAATTACATTTACAAATAGAATTTCACAATTCAAAATTTACATCAAAAGTTAGCTTAGTCTACCTCATTCTTTATTTCCCAGCCCGTAATAAACCTTTCAATGATCTGTGGGAGATTTAGCATTAGCTAATGAATCTGAGATCAAAATATTTTTCAGTGAATAATATCCTACAGAATAGAATTTAGAATAGTAAAAATAATAAACTCAAACAGTTATGTAAAATAATTAAAAAGAATATAATAAACTTAATAAATCTGTAAATCTTAATCATAACCATAAAATGAGATTAAACTGAAAATAGCTTTATTCTATCATGCTTGAGAAAAACAAATTATCCATATGTAAATTGAAGTAGTGCACTTATTAACTGAAATCATTGAAATTTCAAGCACACTAGTTAGTCAAAAATTTTAGAATTTTTTGAGAACTTAATAGAACAGGTAACAAACATGAACACACAGTCCAC